TAATTTTTGTCGTAATATGAGTGTGCATTTGAGTGTGTTATATGTTTAAATAATTGTTTTTGTTTCTCTTTTATGTTTGCTATGTTTGTAATGCTTCCTTATTTTCCTGGATGATTATATGGAAGAGCACCATATGGTGAATATCACCATCCTTTAAATAGTTCTTTGTATAAAAAAAAATTTAGTGATATAAATAAAGGCATTATTATTGTTATTATTATTATTAATATTAATATTATGTATGTTTTCAGCTACGAAAATTGAATAATACCAAATATTTCGGATTTTCACCACCAAAAATGGCGGGGACAATATTTTTAACAGTAAAGCGTTGTTTCGCATTGTATTAGCTATGTCTTGTCCAAAGAAAATTTTAATGTAAAATATTCGTGTACATAATTATCTCAAACTCCCAAAGGTTGGAACTGGGGCATCGAGTACAGCTCAAGTTTCCCAATTTTTCCTGAAATATCACCACCAATTTCCCATACGTAAAGGCCACGCCCCCGATACAACATGTGAAGAAGACAGTGCGAAACTTAAAACCAGTTAAGCTCAACTCGCAGCGCACTCACACATACTCAGACGTGGATGTGATGTACTTGGCAACTGTCACCCACACATGCTACACTATAAATTATTTATGCGGGACTCATGAATATTGCGGTGCCTAGGTTCAGCCTCGGGTCTGGGATAGTTTGCGCTTATCGATCGTGTGGCCCATTTGGATACGGAGAAAGTTTTAATATATGTCATGCGGTCCTGGCTTCTGCATTTTGAAATATTCATTTATTCCTTCCTTAGGATATAAGTATGCAACTCTCTACTCGCGAGATTTACAAATAAGAGGACTAGATATCCTTTCTTAAAAATTTAAAGTGCACAACGATCTGTAGTTATAGCTTGACCAAATTCATCTTGGCCGCGAGATTTGGATGCGCAGTGGCAACCAGACTAGCACCGAAGCTCATTCTGTATTTGAAAGTTGAACGGTGAAGATCAGATAGTCTGAGAAAAAGTTGTAAACCATGCAGTTCAAACCAATTGTCAGTCGTAAAATGCACAAAACCGTGAAGTTGAACACAATATACAGGGTGATTCAGAACTTATCAAAAAAAAAATTTGATTGTACAAGGGACTTTTAAAATACAATTTCCTAATGAAAAAATCAATGGGGGCAGTTCGAAAATGATTTAAAGATACACTTCTGCACTTCACTGGAAACTGGTCCACTGTAAAACCGCACAATGCGACCGGCACAGCGCACAGTGGTCGGAATTCCGAAAAAGCTGGACAAAAGTCGAAATTTGAGTCATTGGTTTGCGTTAATACTTCAGAATATTCTAGAGAAGGAGTCACTGCGTAGTTAGTTCTTTAAAGTGGCAGAGAGCTGGACCATGTGTATAGACCACAGTAACTATCGGAAGTATGCTGCCACACATTAGCATATTTCACTTGCCACTGACCCCTCGAAAAGCGGTGAATTGAAAATACATGCAAATTTTCACTAGAGTACGAATCGTTGTGTGCAATAGAGAAGGTGTTCCTGGAGTTAAGTAGAATATATTTGTTCTTTTAGAACCTCATTTTTCGAAAGTTGCATGTTTTTATTGCTTTAACAAAACCGGCTTGCAATTTCCATCGATTTCAAATCACATCAATCGTAAATTATCGCAATAGTTGTGATCCCAAGAGATCCTGCACTATTAAAAGTTGGAAAATGCGGACAGGAGTGTCAATTTCATATATCAAAAGAGAAAACCACCGAATTTTTCCAGATGGGGGTTCTGAGTCATTTTTTGTGCCTCCGTGTACGGCCGATTTACTATCATAAGAAGCCTTAGTTATACAATAGCTAGCGTTTTAGTGTCTCTTCGCGTTCGAAACGAGCGTTTCTAATTCAAATTGTTTTTTTTTATGAACATGCACCTTTTCGTGTGCCATTTATCATATTTTTACAAGCTTTTATTTAACTTGCCTTGTGGGTCAATATTGGTCATATTTTGCAACTGAATTTTAAACCCCAACCGATTGAGCTGAAATTTTGCATACACGTTTAATTTGGATGACAATGCATGGTTAGCTAAGTGACGTCATTCTAAATCCAATATGGCGGACTCCCGAAGATGGCGAACCAGTTATTTTTTATGCACCCCCATGATATGGATATCAAATGAAAGGGTTTGCTGAGAAGAATACGAAATAAAATGAAGAAAATTATAGATGAACTTATTATCTATGATCTTTCAATTCATAATTTATCATTTTCGACAGGATCAGGCACCAGTAAAATTACGTGAATAAAAAAATAAATTTTTCGATTTTTGAAAGGAAAATTCCGAGAGAATTTAGAAACGCAAATCATCACTTTCGATCAACCTTTTTAAAAAGGTGCAAGATAGATGAAAATGAGAAAAGTTTTTCAACCGAAGCTATGGTGATAATATTTTCATGATCTGACGGTTAGTAACAGGTGATGACGATGCGAATGACTCATGTGTATTAGAATTAGCTAAATAATTAGAATAAGCTTTATAACAAGAATAAGCTTCAATAGTATATAGAAATTATTTCGTTCGAAGTGAATTCATTCCAAATACATGCCTTATATCGCAGATATTTACGTTTCGTACTTTATTAATAATAATTAATTACCTCAAACACCTCAAACTCCGACCTTACATACATTTAACACGACCTCAATACCAGAGGCACTCGAAATTTCAATTAGATTCAATAAATTAACGTGATATATCGGCCATTTTGTATCAGCCATCTTGAATTTGAGATTTTTGACTGCAAATTCGGCTTTAGCGACCTGAAAAACATAAAGTCCCCACTTTTGGTGATGATGCAAGCCTTTTTGGACTTTTGTCCAGCTTTTTCGGATTTCCGACCACTGTGCGCCG